TCATTGCTCTTAGTTTGGAGGCCGCTAGTAGGTTGGAGGCCATCGCTATTGGGTTCCTTGTGCTTTTGGGTTGCAGGTCATTGCTTTTATTTTGGAGGCCGCTAGTAGGTTGGAGGCCATCGCTATTAGGTTCCTTTTGCTTGGAGGTTTTCCGCGTTGCCCCAAGGCAGGGAGGCTCCCCGCTGGTGGTCTTTGCTGGAAAGGAACCCTCTCTGTGGGAGACGAGACTTGAGACACCTGACCGGTTACTACTAGTAAGGCACTTGTTCCTAAGGTTTCTTGTTACTACTAGTAAGGCACTTGTTACTACTAGTAAGGCACTTGTTCCTAGTAGCTTCTTGTTACTACTAGTAAGGCACCTGTTACTACTAGCGATGCACCTGTTACTAGAAGCTTATTGTTACTAGAAGACCGGTTTTCGAGAAAACGGTTTTTGCTTTGGAGGACCGGATGCGAAGCAAAGGCGCAGACGTGCACAGCGACATGAGAGATCATGAGAGTGTGTTTGAGAATAACACATGGGGTTGAGTCCATAGCCGAGTCCATATCTGTTGGATACTCCGGTGGATGGTTTGCAGGGGGCTCGAAGTGGGACTCGTTTGCATTTGCGGTGCTGGTGGAAGGTTCTAAAACTCCCAAGCGCAAGACCACAAAGAAGGAGGCTGAATCACCAGCATCTCGACTGAAATAGTTTACATGTGTTTGCGCCATACACATCACAATGCGTGGGGTGCATACACAGCCAACTCAAGGCTGCTTTGTTTGCCTCACGATTCAATCGCAGCCACTTTGCATCAAGTTGCACCAAGCTCCGCATTCCGAGACGCTCAACACTCCCATGGCACGACTCCTCGTGCTGTTGCTTCTTGGACTTGGACTTGCTCAGGAGGCGCAGCCGGAGGCGCAGCCAGCACCCGCACAGCCAGCTGAGACGCCAGCCGCACCGGTGGCTCCGGTGGCAGCTGCACCCGTTGCACCGCCTCCGGCAGCGCCTGTGGCAGCGCCTGTGGCAGCGCCTGTGGCACCAGCGGCACCGGTGGAGCTTCCCGAGGCACCAGCGGATTTGGAAGGTGACGATCTGATTTCGCGGCTCGGACGGGAGGGAAGTTCCAACCGAAACGGGGCCTTGCGTAACTAAGACGGCCCCTGGCCCTGTGTCGTTGCTTGGTTCCAAGGTTCTATCGTGAAGCTCACCTGGAGAGCCTGGCTAGTGCAGTGCCCAAGCATTCAAACAGCATGTGTTGGTTCTATGATGTTCCATGGGACGTTTGTTTTGTTTGCCTTTTCTGACCTTTTCTGATTCTCATATGGTTTCCTTGTTTTTTTGTCGTAATTAGTTGTGCACATTCCCCACGCACTGGCCAGAATATCATCGGGAGAAAGGGTGCCTGGCTGTATGGTGACTACATCAATGGAGTGCCAAATGTGAGTGATGCCGTTGCTTGCGCAACTACCTGTGAGAAGGACGAGAAGTGTTACCACTGGAACTTTCAGGCCTGGCCAAATGGGATGGAATCAGATGGAATCAGCAGGTCCAGCCAGAACAGATGACATGTGACTTATTCCGCCATTGTTGCACACATATGAATACATAAGACCCCCTTGATGGAATCAAACACCCCGATGTCGCAGGTCGTCAGCAAGCGCTGCGACCTGAAGGCCATGAACGGTGGAATCAACCAAGACATCAGTGATTGGATCACCGGCCATGCGACACGATACTTGAATCCTCCTCCCATCATGCCTTGAGACGTGAGATTAGCAGGCTGCGTCCTTTCTGTCAAAAAGCTGTTGGCAATGTCCATAGCTATACAAGACGCATGGAGCACTTGGATTGCTCGTCTCTGAATTCACCAGCCGACAACCGGCACCAACTTGACCAACTGCACTGACTGGAGTAACTTGAGACTGGCTCGCGATGTGCACGGCCGTGACATGGTGTTTTGATGTTCACCCTTTGCAACTTGTAGCGCCGCGCCATTGTCATGCAAGGTTCGGAAGGAGGCTCGCAGGGCATGTTGCTTGTTGACATTCATGGCTGCATCAGTCGTTTGAATTGTGCAAGGACACGTGAAACGGCTGGGCTAACGTGGCTAACTTCTGTGTTTTGCACAGGGTACCTCGGTTGCGGACACGACACACAAACAATGCCGTGCCCAGGGTTTCTTGGCGGATCCCTTGATACAGAAGCCACTCGATGGAGATTCGCATTTCAGAGTTGTTCACGGAACAGGTTGACATGTCAAAATTTGGGAAACGACATTCGGCATTCGCATGCATTCGCTGAGGTTGGAGAAAGAGCCACTTTGAAAGCAAGATGTGAGAAAGAAAAGTAGAAAAAATAAAGCAGCGTCAAAAAGTTCCCCCTTGCAGAAATCTTGCAGATGTTTGTCCGATAATTTGTAGAGATGGGGCTGCATGGTTTCCTTGTTGACAGTAAAACACTTGCACTTGCACCTGTGAGCTACTTAAGGTTTGCACACCAACCATCCCTCCGGGAGAAATCGCCGATGTCCAGGCCAGCAGGTTCTCAACTGCGATGCCTCACCGTGCAGCGCGGTCCCGCTTTCCGAGGCGGGAGTTCTCCACATCGACCAGTATGCCGGGGGATGCTGAAGGACGGGACTGAGACGAGAACGACGACGGTCGGTGCCGGGCGGTGCCGAAACGCGAGGATTGCATGAAGACTCCTTGATGACCTTTTCTTCGGTGCTGTCCGGAGAAAAGTGCTCCAAGCACGAAAAAGTATGAAACAGTAGCAAGTAGTGTTTGGTTACTGCCTGTGTTATCGAGTCATTGGAAAAAGCGATCTTTCTCGAGGTACAGCTACCTCAGCGAGAATGCAATTGCAGCAGCTGTTGGTCTTGTTCCCAGTCTAGAGGCGCTGTGTGACATATGTTTCCCTCCCAAGATCTTCAAGTGTGTTGGTCTCAGATGTTCCCTGGTCCCTTAATTGCAAAAAACAAGTTTGTTTGTGAGAATGCTTCGAAGAGCTTAAAGAGACGGAAGCAGAGAGGGGCGATTCTTTTCGACGCCTCAGCTGAGTCGAGGTGATGATCCACGTGCCAGGCGGTCGGACGCGTCCGTACGCATCACGCGTCGTGACGCGGCGTCACGGCCAGGAGGGTGGAGGCTTCCAGACCACCTTTGCCCAAACTGGTGGACGTGAGGAAGAACGGGCCAGGCCGGTCTCAAGTGTTGATCAAGTGCCTCAATGCACTGATTTTTTTGGTATGGAGGTGATGCTGCAGCGGCTCAGTATGTAGGCAAAGGCTGCAAGGCCAGATGTGTTTGGACTGAGCACCGTGTACGCTGGACATATGCGTGATTCTGTTGGAGACAGTACTGTCCATGAGTTGGCACTTTGCGGTGATTTAGCGAGACATCCTAGGGTGCTAGAGGTGAATAGATCCTAAATAGATCCTTTCGGAGGACCAAGGCAAGCAGGCATTTCTATACGGTAAGAATATACGTTGCATTGCGTTGCAATTGAAACTCTATATATGTACCTCAGGAGCCGTCGCAAGTGAACGAAGGTTCCTTATCACAGAATTCTTTGCTCAGACTTCCTCAGGCGGTGGTTTCTGCTGCGATGGTGCAAGCAGCGCGCATGCAACCACCAGGATACAAGCCACCAAGGCACGAAAGTACCAAACATCTCTTGTGTGTTTTGTGTAAACTTTTCTTCAGTGGAAAGTGCAGGAAGAATCCTGACGTTAAGCTTGGTCCAAGTATTGGCGGTTAAAGCTTAAAACGGTTACGCTGTGTGCTTGGACTTCAACAGCATGGTTTCGCCAGGTCTAAGTTGGCCAAGCCCAAAGCGGCTCCAAAAAAGGGAGGGCAAGCAGTCGAGGTTGAGACAGACTCTCCGTCGAAGGCTTAACCATCAGTCACATCGGGTTGGTAGATGGTGGCAGATTGCATGATGTCAAGGATGGCAGTGACCCGCATGTAGTAGAGCTGCCCCCAAGGATCTTGCAAGACTCGCCTGACACGAGCAGATGTCCAACAGTACAATTCATGGAGGCGAGTGACCAACAGCTGCTGGGTTTGGAATAGCTTCCAGTTCCGAGCGTGTGCTTCTCCCGCAGGAGGAAAAAGAAATTGATGCACAGCATGGACAGCAGGGGTCACCGCTGTGTTCATGGTCACTCCGAACTGAGTTCGTTAAGCTACTGTTCAAGGTCATCCTGGAGAAAAGACTTTTGGACCAGCAAAGTTCTCTCTCTCTCTCTCTTTCGCCTCTTCAGTAACTGCAATCAATCACTCATGGCTGCCTTTGTTCTAGACCATTTTGCAAAAGTTGTAGAGGGCATAGTGATGGCTTTGTACTCAACATCTTGCAGGCCCAGGTGGGTCTGCATTTATTTGCTCCCGTTTCTATTCACCCAAACTCCAAACATTCAAAAGTCTGAAGTCTGAAGATCACAGACTGCAAGGACCCACTATGCCGGTGATTCGTGTACAAACTGCCGGCAAGAGTTGTGACCTTGGAGCTGCCACGAAATTCTGACTGACGAATTTTGAGCACGTCAGCCATCACCAGCCCCAAGGCAGCACTGGCCCAGAAAGTGGGCCCGCTTCTCCCTCGTCTTCAGGCAGGGAACCTCAAGAATCTAGAAGTTCAATTTGGATTCCGAGCTGTAGCTGTTGCATGTTCCCGAATGCGTAGCGAAGGGTTCTCGTTTAACTCTTGGGGGGGTTGGGTGTAGACTCAGTGTAGACTCTTGTTCGCGACTCGTTGTCAGAGCGTTCGCAACCGTTCGCGGTAGGGCGCTATGGCGCTGACATCGGGCAAAGCTTTTGGAGAGGGTTTTGGATGACGTGTCAGATTCGTGTGAAATAGCGAGGGCACGTGTGCAAGCGCGAGAGGATGAAGTGTGGAGAATTCACTGCACAGGCACAGGGTCTTGCAAGATTCTCAGTTTTCTTCGCGGTGGATGGGAGTGTGCTCGGAACGTGCCGAAATCATTCCAAGCGTGTGGTGCCGCGCAACTTTTGCTGAAGACATGAAGATGTCATGTCGTCACTTTTCGTGGCAGGCGTAGGGAATCGTGAAGTTGCGATGTTTGGTGCAGGTGAGTGTCACCGTGCCATTGGGATTCGCGTGTCGGCGGCTGTGGCTTTGAGGGGCTGGGAATGCGAAACTACTTGGCATGGCTGCAGAATGTGTTTTTTTTGAGGAGACTTCCCGGAAGTCTCGGACAAAGCACTCGTTTTGGAGACTTTGATGCGTGACTTTTGGAGGAAGTCTCGTACGAATCGTTTTGGATGCCAAGAGTGTCCTACAAGAACCTCATAGAACCTCCCTGAAAAGTGCACAAGAATGTCCCAGAGGACAGAAGAGTATAGTGCCCCGCAAAAGTGTCCCACAAGACCGTGCCACACAGAGTCAAGAGTGTCCCACACCAGTTTGCACAAGAGCATCCCACAAGAGTGTCCCACGAGAGCGTCCCGCAAGAGAGTGCCCAGAACAGTTTTCCACAAGAGTGTCTTACAAGAGTGTCCTACAAAAGTGTCCCACAAGAGTGTCCCACAAGAGCTTTCCACAAGTGCATCCCACAAGAACGTCCCACGAGAGCGTCCCGCAAGAACGTTCCATGACAAGAGTGCCGCACGAGAGTGCCAGAACAGTTTTCCACAAGAGTGTCCTACAGGAGTGGCCCACAAGCGTGTCGCACGACAGTGTCACACAAGAGTGTCCTACAAGAGTGTCACAGAAAAGCACCGCATACAGGAGGGTCGTACCAGAGCGTCGCACAAGAGTGTCAAAGTTTTCGAGTGCCTGCTTGCACTCGGGTTCGTGGGTTCCCTGTGGTTTTTCAGCTGGTCTATTTTTATCAATAGTTGTATGTATTTATGATTTGTTGAATATGTGAATGTGTTCGCATATGCACATATGCAATAGTATTTGTCTAAAAAATCGAACCGAAGTCCTCCGATTCTTTCGCCACTTGCCCTAGCCAGCCAAGGCTGGAGCCATGGCAGTGTGGCAGATCCCGGCGAGTTGGGCGGAGGGCGCTCCTCCCGATCGGCAGGCTCAGCGGCTTTGTTGCGCTCCAAAGTGCATAGTCATCCTGAAAACACTTGTAACTGTAGGATGCTCAGATCAGAACTGTTGAGTGATATGTGAACTCCCATTGGTGAGAAGGAGGACGAGTTGACTTGGGTGCTCTCACAGTGCAAAGTGTTCGCAATTGCAGGCTCCGTTTTGACCACCCGCCCGAAGCAGTGCCAACCCTTGCCACTTGGATCTGGCAAAAAGGTGACAATCCATGATAGAACGACAAAAGAAATTAATTCTGAAATCAAATGATTTGTAAATTTATCGTCCTTCGTATATTGTGTTTTTCCCTCGCCTTTACCTCGGGAGTTGGAGCATAACGCAGTTTCTTAATGTATCCGACCAAGGCTCTCAGCCAGAGCCAAAAAGTATTTCAACGGTTGCTTGGCATTGATGCATATCATATGGCGCATGACGAAACGTTTGTTTCGTGCCTTTCTGGGTCAGCCATTGAGTCTTCTCTTCGTGGTCTCATGGGCCGGTGGCTGTTCCGGTCATCCGTCAGTCCTTCCAGGTGGATGGCACCGCTGACGCAGGCGGACATCCCCCCTTTTCCGTGGTGCGGGGCAGTTGCGCCTGAGACGGCCCCCCCCTTTCGGGGGGGTGACCGTTTTGTCCATAAGATGGGTGAAGATCACCTCCCTCGGCATCCCGATCGGGTGCAAAAACTCGGCGCCTGAAGGATGATAAAAGGCATGTCAAGGGTGATTGTTTTGGAGGCCGGAGCTGATTGCGCCAAGCCGTTCAGTGCTAATTACATCTAGTTACATCTAGCTAGTGTACTAGATGTTGCTCTTAGCACCTTCAGTTGCACAGTGGACGGCAATTCCTAGAAGGATCTAGAAGGGTATTGGTAGTATATCGAGTGACTCGACTCGAAGAGTGTTCAATGAGGATAGCGGAGTATGGCGTTCAAGCCGACACGCTGCCACCACCCTGGACAAAGCATCTGGATTGTGGAACTGGCTGCGCAACTTGGCAATTATTTTGTGGAGTTGATTAGTATTACAGGAGAACAGTCTTTGATGTACTGTAAACGCAAATAGGCTTGACAGCTCAATGTAACGTAGTAATCCACACGTTGGATATCGAATTTGATCCAACTTGCACCCAAAACATGCGAGCAGCCGCAGGTCTACTACGTCGACAGTGAATCCCAGGCGTGGAAAGACCTGTGGGCTTTGATTACAAGCACAACTGTATCTTTAGCATCGCTATTAGGAGCAAGGGCCTTACTAGTGTTGCGGTACATCGGCAACGCGGCGGTCTCCGGAAGGTCTCAACATGGGATTCGCCACTGCTGCCATGCCTGCAGCGCGTGCTAGATATTGGTCGTGGATATTTGGAACGCCCTTCAGAGGATGTCGTGTGAAAAGAGAAGATGATGTTTGTGTTGCTGTATTGCTGGAGATGGGTGGCGCTTTGTGCATGTTGAGGTTCTCACTGTTTGTTTTAAACCTTTTCCTTGGCCTTCAGTCGGCTAGGACTACTTTGAAGAGGCCAAAATGCAGTTGTGGAGCCGGCTTAAGGCAGCCAGCCTTGCCGGAATCTTCGTGTCAAGAAGACAACAACATGTCCAAGATTGGTAAGTCAGTATCGATTCTGAAACAGAAAATCAGAAAGAACTGGCTGAAGTTTCGCCAATGTACTGAATCTACGCACTGCTGTGCAAGACGGAGAATTTGAGAGCCAGAAGTCGCAGGCCGACTTAAACTGCTGGCATGGCCCTTTGGAGAGCTCGAATCTCAGACAGAGTGAGAAACAGAAGGATAGGACATGATAGGAAATTGCACTCGTGGCATGATAGGGCAGCTGAAGACAGAAGTACAGAGTGTGTTTTCAAATTGCTCTCCTTAAGTCAAAGCCTTTTTGGCTTCAGATGATGTAGTGTTAGGGCAAGTCCAGGAAGGAATCGGAGACTGGAGAGCTGAGGCCCAGAAGGCCAGCCTTACTTTGCCAATTCACACACTGGCCAGTCATCTTGGCGGGATCCACGGGCAAGGCACCCCAGGAACAGTGGAGCGAGCTCAATAATCCACAGCAATTTGGAGAAAACAAATAAGAAAACAAAACGCATGTTGATAATATACTGAATCTGATGTTCATGATTCGAGATAAGTTTTCTCCATGAGTGTCCAGATCATTCGATGTTTCGTGAGGTTTGAGCGGCCGACCTAGGTGGATACTCAGTTTCTTTTCGATTTGGAGGGAGGCTTGCTGGATAGCTTGGCAGAGTCGCTGCCACTTCCGGAAGACCTCGAGGCAGGTCCTTGACGGCCCTGACGGAGACAACAACTGCCCACTCGTCCTTGGAACTCGCAACATGTTCAAGGGCTTTTTCCAGTCCGAAGTGCTCGAGCCGTCTCCCTTGAAATGCATGTCTTTATTTTTTGTTCGTCCGCTTGTTTTTGTTCTCTGTGCCTTTTGTGGCTCAAAGCTCGCTCCCCCTTATGGCCCTGTGGTGTTGCTGTGTGGAGGTCAAACGGCCCGAAAAGATTCAGCGCGGCCATGCTCCGCGGCCGATGAAACGCCCCAGCACCGGCGGAGCGCATGTGAACATCGGCATCGCCGCCCTGGAGACGCCCAAGGCGAGCTCCGGCGATGGCGGCACCGGCAATGACCCACCTTCCATGGTGTGCTCTGAGGGAGGTGGAAGCGGAGGTGGAGGTGGAGTTGGTGGAGCTGAGAGTGCAGGTGAGTTGATGCCTTTCAAGAGGCAGAAGACTAGAGATGCTGGCCATGCATTACAACGGCGGAAGACCGCTGCAATGGAAGACTACTTGCAAGCCCTGCCGGAAGAAGAGGCCCGGGACGATGCTGAACCTTCCAAAGGTCTGGAAATCACGACGGATAATATTGCGGTAAATCTCCGTGTGACACGGGGGCCTGACTGGACTTGGGGAGAAGAAGATGGTGACAAAACTGGTGTGGTGCTGTCCTTTGACAAGGCTAAAGGCTTGGCACATGTCCTTTGGGAAGGAGGGCAAGCACACAAGCACTATCGCTTTGGGCAGGGGAAAAGTGATTTGGCGATATGTACTAGTTCAGGAACCTCAGCGCTTGGTAGACGGAATTCGCAGCTATTCTTCGCAAGCAAAAGCCAGACCCTGTTGATTTTTGACTGGGATGACACGCTCTTCCCCACGACCTACGAAGCTTCGCTTAAGCTTGTCAGATGTTTTGAAGGATTTTTGGTGCTGAAGGGTCGTGGCCAAAGAAAGTGAAATAAAAGGTAAAAAGGGGCAAGCTGAACTCTGAAAAGCAAGCTGAGGTCCGAGATGATTTGAAGCTGGTGTGGAACAAACCATTGAAAGATCAAGATTTGAGCTCGGCAGAGAAGACGACCATTAGCAAAAAGCTAGAGCTTTGTTCTTCTCATGTGGTGGAGCTCCTTAAGGGAGCTGACCGTTGTGGCCGCTTGAAGTCAGTGTTTTCGTGTGCTATCCTCCAATGGACGCATATTCATTCAAGTAGGCTGTAGGAAATTGTTCAAGCTCTGGTTTTCTGTGAAAAAGTCACCGCACTTGGCATGCCCCTCAAAACCATGGCTGCACGCAACGAAGGCAAGGTGGTCTTGCTCACTTTAGCGCGGGCACCTTGGGTCTCCGAGTCCTGCAAGAATTTTTATCCATCCGTGGGACGCCTCATCACGCAGCTCAAGATCCCCATCGTCTATGCCCAAGAGGGTATCCAGGCAAGGCACAGTTGGTGGTGCAGCAAATGCGACAGCAACTAAGATAGGAATATAATGTATTTATAATTTGCATGACGTTTGGATGTCCGCGGGGTTTTTCATGGAAAGAACAACCATGAACAACCCATCCGCCCTTAATTGCCAAGCCCGACAGGTCGACTACAATAAAGAAAAAATGTCGACCGATGAGGAGATCGAACGCTTTTGGAGCTCCGTGAAGGGCAAGGCCATCGCACGAGAGTGCAACAAATTCTATTCTCAATATGAAGGGTGTCTCGGTGCACGTCAGCTCTATGCGGAGGTCTTTTCATTCGGGTAGGCCGATAGGACGCAGGTGTGCCAACATCACGCGTTGTTTTTTGCAGAAAGGGTTATGCTTCATGAAGAACTCGTGCAAGATTGATCTTTTCAGCAAAACATCGACCTAAGGCAGAGTTGGAAGAATGTGATTTCAATCGGAGATTCAGACTTCGAGCGCTTGGGTACACAACATGCCATGGAGAACTACATGCGTGAAACTGGAATCCACAGCGATGGGAAGTTAGTCGATGTGAACGGCCATCTCTACAAGGTTAGAACGAAGACCTTCAAAATGCTGGATGAGCCAACAGTGGAGGTCATTGGAAATGCATCATGAGACAGATTTTCTATGTGATGGTGGCTGCAGGTAGATAGATAGACAGCATTGGAAAGCCACCTCGTGTGTCAGGGCGTTTTGATGTTTTCCTCTATTTCGAGACCTCCATATATATTTGCTGTATGTGTCGGATTGGGTTGCTTCTGAAATTCTATTCTTTGGGTTTCTGTTTTGTGCTATTTTGTGCTCAAGTGTGCTAAGCATCCATTGCTCCATGCTGCTCCTTTGTGTGCGATTCCCCCGCATTGAAACCAACACTTGAGGAGTTGACGGTAGAAGTGGATATGCTCAAGGCATGGCTACCATTAATGGTAAAACTGGACAGCAGTTTTGATGTGAACCTGACGCTTGGAGATGAGCAGTCTTGAGCTTTTCATAGTTTATCATGATTCTGGTCAAATGCACCGACAGGCGCATGCCGAAGCTGACTTTGTTTTTCCTTTTGCTTCAGGGTCTTCAGTTGGTCGGCTGACTTTGTCCCAGTGTGCCTTTTGGTGACGAGGAACAACGCGGACGACCCGGAGGTCCTCAAGTCGATCGACACAACGCTTCGTGGCCAGTGACGTGGGCAAAGATCCCGAGATCCATTCGCGTGGCTAGAGACTTGCGGAAAAGTGATCATAGGATCTCAAAAAAACATAAAAAAACAAGGAGGAATGACCGGCGGGTCGTTACGGGACAAGAACTAAGGAGTTTAATTGAATTTAATTGTATGCATCTACCCCCTTGCGGTGCCTGACCCACCCCACAGGGGTCAAATTTGTAACTGGCAATTTTTTGTTTTGCGATGAATGCAATAATATAGCCCTAGGGGGAGTGAAAATTGTTAGATCTAAGGTTGAGATAGCCTATATTAGGATCTTACTTAAAACCCCCTTAAAGAGGTCTTGGCCGCTGGCCTACTTTTTGAGACTTTGAAAGCAGGGGGCCGGGGGGGGCTCAAAATTGTAAGAACGGACGGGCAGGTACCCCCCCAGAGCACGCCACAATTTCACTCCCCCTGTGTCGGCTTTGCTTTTGTGACTTCGAATCAGGTCAGATGGGAAATTGTAAGTTACAATTTTGAGGGTGGGGGCATGCATCCCCTGAACCTCAAAAATGTAACTTACAATTTTGACTCCTGTCTTGTCAGATGTAGGTATTTTAGACCTGTGTGTTCAAAAATAACCGTTTTCCCAAACCTGCACTTTGACACACCCAAAATTGTAAGTTACATGTTTGATGGTAAGGTAGTAGTGATTTGTATGCAGTACTCGTATGTGATTTGAGCAGCTGCCTGTCAACGCCACGGTGCTAAGTGTCAGGCATGCCCGCTCCACGTTTGCTGCGCCAGGTGCCTTGCTTTGGCAGCAAGGAATTGCGAGCTGTGGGGCCCCCAGACGAGATCGACTCAATGGACCGAAACGGACCGAAAGCGAAACGACGAAGCCTGGAAGAACGTGTTGGCATCCCCTTATTAGTAGCATCCCCTTGTTACTAGTAGTTTCGTGCTACTATTAGTAATGACCTCCAACCTAATAGTGATGGCCTCCACCCTAGTAGCGATGGCCTCCAATCTAGTAGCTTCTTGCTACTAGTAATGCATATGTGAAGGAAAGTCTGAAGGAAGGTAGAAACCAGCTCATTTCTTGTCCCATCTTGTTGCTTGACTTCATTTACACATGTTGAACACTACAACATGCCGCAGCCTTCGGCAAAGCAAGTGCTGAAAGCATGGCACATCGGGTGAGGAAGACATGGCTATTGGCACTGGTGGCGGCCGCTTTGTGCCACTCAGCGCTTGTTCCGCTCTTTGTTCCCCCAGCGCGGGGACATGTCAACTTTGAAAGCCCCACGAAGACATCGTCCATCTTACCTGCTGTACCAGCGATGGCCATGTTGACACCATTGGCTGCATGGGCAGATTCTGATGGCGATTGGTTTGAGCCCTTCGTGAGCTTGAACGCTCAGATCATCGAAGGCATTGACGGTGTCATCGGCTCTGCGGGATTTGCTATTGTGTTATACACGATTCTGATCAAGGTGGTGACAGCCCCCTTGCAGCAGCCAGCCTTGAGGACCTCAGCCTTGATGCAATTGCTCTCTCCTCAGACTGATGAGATTGAAAGGAAATACCCCTTGGATGAGGAGGGTCGGGGACGCACCTTGCGGGAACTCTACGGTAAAGTGGGTTTGAACCCTTTCGCTGCGTTCCTGCCGATTCTGGTGCAGCTTCCGATCTTCGTGGCGCTCTTTCGGGCCATTGGTAAGCTGGCATCCCAAGATGACCATTTCAAGGAGCAACAGCTGGGCCAAGAGCGGCCAAGGTTTTATTTGTTTATTCAGATTGTGTCCAGAACTTTTCAGATTTCTTCAAATTTTACCTAGACACATCCTGATCATCATCCAAGTACTGTCTTTGCATTCGCTGCTTGGCCACACTGAAATACTCGCAGGAGTCTTTCCTGTGGATTCCCAGTCTCGCTGGGCCTGTGGAAAGTGGAAGGACTGCCTAGTCATTGAAAAAGAAGTATAGACATGAGACGAGCGAGGCAAAATGGATCTTCAGAGGGAAAGCGAAGGTATCATAGATTATATACGTAACAATTATTTATATATATATATACATGTAAATTCAAAACAAAATTAACTGCTCCTGGTCGCTTCTTGCCCGACAGGCCTAGCTTGGATTGGCTACTCAAGACTCGCTACAGCGACCACTTCGAGCCTTTGGTCGGTTGGCAGGCCATAGTTAGCCATAGTCAGGGCCATGAAGCTACAGTTTCAAACCTTGGAACAAACATGGAAGCAACTTCTACTCAACTTCTGAGTCGATTCTCCGTCCCTTTGGACCAAATTCAAAGCACAGTAGGGGCGTTTGACTTGGTAAGAGGTTTCAACCTAGAAGCCGCAGGATGCGGGCTTCTATCTCATTCTTCCACTGCTTGTTTTCCTCCTGCAGTTCTTCTCAAACAGGACGAACGGCTCCGAGAAAGCAACGGCAGTGTCATCCCTATGGAAATAATAGGTTGCTGAACATGCTTGTGTCGCATCATGAAGAGATTCCTGCTGGATTCGATGATTCGGGAGAAGCCCCGGTCGGTCCTCGGACCCTAAACACCCGGCGCCCCAAGTGAAAGCACCCGAAACACGCGCCGACCGCCGCAGGATGAGCGCGGCTTCCAAAGAGACTGTGTCCGCGACTGCCCTGGCTCCATTGTTCATTGCAATCTCCACATTGGTCTCTCCTCAAGGTGTGGGGATCTATTGGTTTACCAACACCCTGTTGACAACTGTGCAGCTCAAGTTCACCCAGAACCAGGTGGCTGAGGAGTTTCCAGAGTACAAGAAAATCAAGGATGCTGTGGATGCAGAACAAGATGGCATGAGATACACGCGTAGCTCACCGTTCAAGAAAAACGAGCTGGTAGCCAAATCCGTTGAAGATTTGGAAGATCCCCCACAGAAGAAGGCAGCAAAGCCAAAGTCTCGAAATGCACGTCGGAAGAAGACAAAGGCTAGAAATCGGCAGAGAGCAGGGCAGGGGGAGGCTGTTTGACGACAATATCAACAATGACTATTTGAGTATGTTTTAGACTATTCAGTCTCAGAGTTGTTTTGGACCTCTCAATTTTCAAGAGGGGCCCTTGAGCAACTACAGTTTCACACTTCGCGGCATTGCTTAAATTTTAAAAGAGCAAGGATCTTGATGTGAAAGCTTTGCAATGCCACTCTAGGAGCGATCGGACGCTACTAGGGGCTCCTGGCCTTACTACTAGCAACAAGAAGCTAGTAGGGGCTCCTGACATCGCTACTAGGAGCAAGGACGCTAGTACTTTTGCTTCTTGTTTCGCAGTTGCTACAGAGTGCCCAAGAACTAGTCACTTCAGAGCAAGCCTGCCTGAGGCTGCTACTATGTGGAGAACAGATACTGGTGCCGAGGCCGGGAATGACGAAAGAAAAGAACGGCTCAAAGAACAGTGCTGGCAAGGACGGGTAAAGTTAATTGGGGAAGCGTGGGACACAGGCGGAGAAAGTGAAGAAACACAAACACACGCTTGCCCAAGAAACCGCTTTTGGTTGAAGCATGCTGATATCCAATTTGGAGTGTCCACACGCTCCCGCTGACATTGTTTGGGAGGTGCTGACCTTGGATAGCCCCAGCTGCCAGGCAATGTTCTGCTGCCAAGCCTTCTCAATCACCAAGCAAAGGTTGCAACAGTGGTACATGTTCATGCTGTTTATGCTCGGTAGTGCTTCCAACAGTGCTTTGGATGTTTGATTGTACAAGCAATTTGCACCAACCGCAATCTGCTGGTTGCACAGGTTCCTTCACAGGCTGACGCCGAATTGAGAGGCTCGATCACTCAGAGAGGACTCACAACTGCCTCGATATGCCTCGATGCCCGAGGAACTCCCACGCCAAGGATGCCAAATAGATTGACCGTCATTGCCATGCAGGCCATGCCTGGTAGTCGCTGTATAGATATGTGTAGAATTGTGTAGATATGTGTAGATGTGGGAAACCAATGACACTGTTCCAAGCCTGCTGAAGCATTGCACATCAAAATGCCTTTTGGTGTTGACCGTCCAGGAAGCCTCCGAAAGGAGGAAATCAAAAGTAAAGAGTGCCATCACAGCAATCACGAGCTGTGAAAAGTTACTGTTTGCCTCAGAGTTGTTCAATACTTGGTTGTGTTTTTTGCACCTGTACTGTATGTACATGGGTTCTTGCATTTTCTGAACGCCACTAGAACCCAAGGTATGCGACGAGCATATAGCCACTTGCATGCCATGCTCGAGGCGTTGAAGTTGACAGTCGACTAGATCACATGCTGACAGTGTGCTACAACTTGATCAAGAACACTCAGTCTACGGAGTTGTGTTTATGCAGACTTTGTTCTTGTCCCGGGGATGCCCTTGGCAGGAAGACTTGGACTCGCAGAGGCAAAGAATACGAGAACAATTCAAGGCGCGTCCACCGCGCGGCGTGATATGACTCGCACGGGCATCGAACAATCGCGGTGTGCGCCAATGCGCTTGTTCCGCTTGGCGGGTTGGTCTTGAGTAGTTTCTTGGAATCGGATTGCGAGGCCAGGCTGTTGGAAAGAGCCCAGAGGCTTGAGCCTCTGAAGAAACAGTTGCTTGGCATTGGAAATGTAGAGCAGTACAGGGACACCACTCAAGGCATTTGTTGATCTATTTATGTTCATTTAGCCTTTTTGGGTGGCAAAGGGTCTTCAAGTCTTCCAATGTATTTGATTATTTCACGTGGTAGTTGGGGACTTACCACATTTCTCGTGCTTTGTTGCACGGTATCCTCAGGCTATCGATGCTTGACGAAGAAGTGTGAAAGCCTGCAGGGACAAACCAGCATCGCGGTCATTGACAGCACCTGTGTTCAAGACACACAAGCCTAAAGAAGCCTGCACATCCTCCTTGCTGCAGCTGCATCTTACTCAAAACATGAAACAATGCAGACAACCACCATCCCAACATTATGTGGCCAAGAAGCTAAGCACTGCTGCTCACTTTATATATATGTGTACATATAGCTATATATATATGTATATTGCTAGAGATTATCTTGAGGGTTTTTGCGGTTTAAGTCACCTCGAGAACATCAGTTTCACTCCGCAGTGGCAGCCGATTGCCACCCCGCGTAAAAAAGTTTCAGTGTTGCACTTCTCAAATGTTCACTTCTTCGTTCCATTGTTGGCTTTGCGTGTTTCCTGTTTGGTGTGGCCACATGTGGCCACCATGCAGATGACATTGATGCAGAGAGTACATCACTCAACTTTGATTGCGTTTGAGACCTTCTACCCTCAAAATGTTGCCTTGGCTGACCAAATTGTTGCATCCATAGCCATTTTCAAGCCGCAAGTTTGAGCCACTTAGAATTTTCCCTTTTCTGCTCCGCGCGAAGCGATGGGAGCACAACTTCAGGTCTGCCAAGAGGGAGCTTATGGGTCCCAAAAGACATCAATAGACTAGAAGAACTCCATGTCCATTCTCATTGAGCTTCACAGTCTGAGAGCGCGCTTCCAACAAGGGTGTGGATATCTATGATTCTTGTATACACATACACATACATATACATACCTATTTGTGTGTGTGCATCATCTAACATCTAATAGAACTATTACCTACATAACTATCACTCAGGGTATTTTTGAATCTGAGTCGAGGCTTGTGGCCGCATTTGCTGGCGTGACCCTCCACGTGATGCTCGCACCACCCACAGCTCCAAAGGCTGCTGGGCCACTTGGCGACGAAACACGGCTCCGCTCGTTCACCGCTTTCGCCGTTGACCGCGTGTTCGCCTCAGGAGGACGAATGGGCAAAAAGCCGGGTGAAAGGAACACCGATTTCAGATGAAGGCTTCATTTGTATGGGAAGCAAAGCTCCCATTTGCCCAACATCCGCAGCAATCGTTCGAGAAGGCTGGAGTAGTTCAAGCAGTTTGCTCTCAGAGCAAGAATATCGTGACGCAGGCCCCATCAACCTGTCAGTGCTTCAAGGATCATGGCTCGGATCTGGAGGTGGGAAGATGTGGCCACGCGTTTTCACAGCAGATTCACTATTGTCTAACAACGTGTTGCACATCTTGGCACTTCTCTTCCTTAGAAGTGCCACATCCTGAGGTGCTAAGATCACAGTAACTGGCACTGAAGTTAGCATCAATGGCCTGCCATTGAAGGCCGGCGTTGTCGCAATTTCGGGTCAGAGCATGTTATCACAAACGAGCCTTCACAAGCCCAATGAGGGCTTCAAAATGGTTCAACACTTTTGAGGGGTGTGGGACGGAGTTTGCAATTCCATTGGGTTCTGCCAGGCTCACAAGGTAGAGCTGAACGATGATGGCTTAGTGGTGAGCATTGGCAAACTCTGGCAGTTGCAGGCAAGCTTGCTGACGACTGTGGTTGGTTTGTTCGTCATCGAGTTAAGAATAGTTAAGACATGTAAAAGTATTGTTTTCAGTGCTGCTTTAGGGATGGGCTTCCAATGGTGCTATCGAGTTTCGAGCATCATCCACACGGGAAAACATGGAGACCCGTCCTCAGCAATGCCATGCCATGCAGCTCTTTTCTTGAGTTTCTTTCAAGGTCGGCTCGATCTGAGATATGGACTCCGGCGCCACTTGCAACTTCAGAGCAGATGTCCCCGACACAGTTCTTTAAAAGTTAGCACGTTCATGCTGCTTGGTGCGGACGGTTGAAGCAATGCACTAGCCACGCAAGCCATGCAAGGAAGCGATGCAAAGCAAATTGACGTGACCTCAGGTCAGAAAAGCTCAAGTTGCTGGGTTATGCAGGGAGTGCTGCGGCTTGGATGCGTTTCTCATCCACTGCTTGGAGCCCCTCAAAAAACAGTAATCATTGTGTGGTTCTGCTTACGTGTGCTCACTCTGCAAGGATCTACTGTAAATAATGTACCAAGCGAATGTATAGAGTTTACAATATGTTATATACTACCTCTCGCACATCGGTCCAAGTCGATGTCATGCCGGACACTCTGGTCCGAACATGTTCAGTTTACAATATGTTACTGTACAATAATTATGCTGGTCAGTGATCATATATGTAGGCGGAAACTCATTGCCAGTATTTGTGAACTTGTGCACTGACAATGTGGCGCAGGCAAATCCTTTGGCTCGCGGGGTGGAAGGTTGTATGCCAGGCACCACTGGTGCAGAAATGGGATACAACGCGAAGAAGGATGCAGAAGAGGCGCAGGGCCAAAAGCTTGAGGAAACACGACGCTACTCTGACACGTACTAAATTTACACGTGTCCCCTTTTTCTGAGCCTTGCAGGTGTCACTTCTTTGTGCACTTGTGAGTCAATGGCGTGAGTCCGGCCCATGGCGACATGACGTGGCGCAGAATAATGGATTCAGAGGGGTCCACAGTCTCTTAGATTTAGATAATTTATTGGATGTTCATAGGATTTGGAACCATCACTTGCTTCCGGGGTCAATTATCCATGCAGCGATCTTCACATATCTTCACGGTGTGACCGAAGAAATGTGTAAGGCCCGAGACCTGCAAGGTTTGCCCTAGACTCGTCATTCCGGACTTCACCAACCGATGCTTGGCCAACGAAGAACGATCAGACGATCTAACTCCTTCACCTTGCAGTAGAAGATGAAACACAGGTCACAGAAAAAAAATAAACATATGAGATATGTAGGAACAACCGAATGATAGGGCGATAGAGAGGATTTCGAATCAGAGAGGAGACCTGAAAGATCTGAAGGTTTTCTGGACGAACCGCAATGGCCTCCACCGAGGATCACAAACAGGCCTTGGTGTCGAGTTGCTTCACTACGTGGCGACGTCCATTAGGCCGTGCCGTGTCGCCGTGTCCGCCGTGGGTGCCGTAGGTGTTTGGTGTTGTGTGGCATCGTGTGGCCAGGCAGAAGGGCTTTCAGAAGCGATCGCGGCGGCAAGGTCCGGTGTGGAACGAGCCAGCGATCAGATGCAACGAAGAGTGTAGAGTTGGAGTGAAGAAGACTAAGAATCTGAGGTCATGACATCCCGGTCTTGGTGCGAGAACCTGCTGGGTCAGATTCCAAGGAGAATCAGTTCACTCGATTAAGCAAGTCTAGTGCACTGCTTGGGCATGGTGGCATGGCTGCGAGAGTTTTGTAGGAGGAAGCCTTGAAGGTTTGGCGGGGTCGTGTGGCAGAAGAGGAGGACTCCCTGACCCTGTCAGAGTGTCAGTATGCTCAGGATACTTCTTTATGATTAATGATTCTTTGTGTTCTTTAAGCTATGCTTCAGTTTCTTTCAGTCTCACTCATCAAAGACCAGATCATCCTTCGGCCTTCACGTGCAGGGGTTTCCTCCTGTGCGAGTTCGAGATGACGAAGAGATTTTCACTTCATTGGGGAATGGCCATTTTTTTCAGGCATCCGTTGCAGGATGTGTCCCTCTTTGTTTTTTGCAGCCCTGAAATCCTCTTTTGATCGCCAGGCATTGAATCTCTTCGACACCCAGTGGAAGGCCATCAACGAAGATACTAACTATGCAGTCGGATCAGATATCCAGCTTCAGGAAGCTCTCAACCAAGGAATCCGGTGGTTGCAGTTCAAATTGAAGAAGGCTAAAGCATGCTAAGCCAGAGCCATATATAAACTGTCGTTTGAAAGAATACCTCACAGAAACCATGCGCGACCAGGAGTTGTCAGTGTGATTCTTCGCCACTCGACCCCTCGTCCAGTCCGAGCAAAGATTGCCGACTTGCTGAATGCCAAACGGGAGCGCCTTGGCAAATCTTGGCAAAGTCCCGGGAATGGTGTCGTTGGCTCGTCGATGAAATAGACCACTGAACGATCCTTTTGTTGGTTTCTTTTGGGGGACGTTTGTTTATGTTGTTCTTACAGTACCTTTTTCTTTCTGTATCCTTTCTTTATGTTGTGCGTGTGTTGCTTCTTTGCCTCTTTGCTTGTCATTTCAGAACTCTAGGCAGGCTGTCACTTGTCCGGCTGTGAGGTTCATGTGGACTCTGGATGAAGATGGTACCGTGGACACTGGAAACTCGATCGAAAACACTGACTACTGCTCTCACTTCGAATGGCTGAGCAAGGGCATGGACGCAGAACAGGTCAACTGCTTGGTCCGAACGCACTTGGGCATCAAAGACAGCAAGCGCATTCTGGGCTGAGAAGAAACGGCGAGCGGCTCCGTGAGTTCAGGGTTGGTTGGGTTTGTGGTGGGGTCACTGGTGCCAACGACCCCAGGCCGATCTGTCCGTGTGCCTGCTGTGCTAGGTTTGCCGAGGGCGGCTGTGTCGTAATTATCTCCGCTGAGACTTGCCCTCAGGTCCGGATGGATTTTTGTTAATGCTATCACTGGTGCCGGCGAGTTGGCTGGATCGAACTTGAACCGAACCTTCAGAGTGTAAGTACTCTGGGAACAAGCAAGTGAAGAGAATCTGAAGAGAAAAGCAGAAGCAAGAGTAAGCAAGGGGGCAAGGAAGAAATGAGGAGAAGAACAGATTGAGATCTAAGAACTTCCGAAACGTGAGTAAGGGACACAGGCCCACAAACCATTTGTTCTCCAAGAGGGGACGGGGCTGAGGGATACCTTGGACTTTGGACTTCCGAGACTCCGAAGCAGATCCAGGTCACACTAAGACATGCTTTACAAGCTGTGTGGTCCAACTCCGTTGCGCCCAAAACCGCGAAAGGTGGCCGAGGATTCAGCACAACAATTGTGCATTTCAGATTGCCATTTTGGATTCAGCTCAAGACGGATCTAGCTTTAGCCAGCCAGATTTGCGACAGGCATACAAAAAAGTGTGGATCAGCTTTCACGAGTTGCAGCTCTCTTGCGCAGCCCGCGCTTTAGACGGGCAAGTGAGCCAGTTGACGTTTCACGTCAGACCATTCCAGCCATGAGGACGAGTATCGTGTCCTTTGGACCCCCATCCGTTAGCAACCAGTCATGGATTCACCATTTAGATATTATGTCACAAGTATTCATATGCTTAGGCTTAAACTGTCCAGTTTTGTATTTGCATTTGGTTTCACTGCATGGACTGCGTGTTTTCCAATTTTGCCTAAGGCAGCAGTATGGGCTTGGGCGAGGTGGAGACAGAGGGTCTTCATTCAAAGCTTCATGAATTGCATCAGCTGATCGAGAGAAGATTTCGGCAACACGCCAAGCTTTTGAGAATGGAGATTCGTCGTTCACAACGAAAGAGTGCCACTTTGCCCATCCTCGAGATGGACGATGTTTCGGAAAAAGCGGACGAGGAGAGGTCAGAAGAGTCCGAAGTGGAAGGGGATGAGAAGGGAGATGAGATGGACCACAGCGGTGAAACTGGCATTCTGCGGAGTCCCGATAGGACTCCTCCTCCCTCGCCACCTGTGCCCTTGTTGGAACCTCTCCCGCCTAGTCCCGGCACTCCAAGCCGTGACTCACATGTATCTCAAAGCTCAGCTCGAGCCGGCAAGACTCGCTTTGGCCTTCGGTTGAGTAGTAGTAGTGCAATCAGTGGAATCAGCGGAAAGAGCATGAAAAGCAACCGTAGCCGTTCAGGGATTTCTGGAGCCTCAGATCAGACTGCCCAATCATCCCGAACTGACCAAAGTTCGCCCGATTCCTTCATCCTGGGTGCGTGGAATGAGAAACACCTGGCACAGGCTAAAATTGCAGGAATGTGGATGGCTCGGCGCAGAGCTACCTCATACACAGAGATTGAAGAGTCATGTTTGTCTTCCTACTGCAGGGAATTCATTGATTCTAGCATTTTTACCTATGTCATCACGCTGATGATATTCCTCCATGTCATCCTCATGGGGATAGAAGCCGACTTATACAAGGAACATAATGGTGCTGAAGGCATTCCATCATGGATCGGTATTTCAAATTTGGTCTTGACGAGCTTCTTTCTCTGTGAGCTGCTGCTGAAGTTCATTGCCCTGGGTTGCCGAGAATTCTGGTGTGGCAGGGACTGGGCCTGGAACGGCTTCGATGCAGCCGTGATCTCCTTGTCCGTGGTGGATGTGGTTCTGGCCTTGTGGTTCACCACGGCAGCTGGAACTGGCCAAGTGAGGGTCTTCCGGATGATCCGTATCTTGCGATATTTGCGAAGTATTCGAGTGGTCCGGCTCTTCCGATACATCAGTGCATTGCAGGTGTTGACCTTGTCGATCATTGGGACAATGAGCTCGTCACTTTGGATGTATGTTGGTGAGTATGAGAGCATGTCGGGATTCAGTCGAAACGTTTTAGGCCCGAACTTTGCTTCCATCCGGCTATTTCAGCACTTGCATGTCTAGCCAGGAACCGATTCCAAACCCAGGGGTCCTTTGGGAGTGCTGTTTTCACAGCTGAGGTTAGCCTGGACATTGCTGCTGTTGATTCTGATCATATATAGCTACTCTGTAGTGCTGACGGAGCTCGTAGTCGAAGTCTGTGTGGAGAACTCCGAATGCCCACAGGTGTTTACCAGCGTTGCAGACAGACGCTTGGTTGGATTCACAGTGATAAGTCTTTAGCGGCCCTCACTTGAGAGGGCGGAGGTGGGCGGGAGAGAGCTAGTGTCTCAAGCAGGTTTACGTGGCCAATCCTAGAGTGGTGCGCTACAGTCACAAGCCCGTGAACGATTCCTCGTTCTGAATCGCAGAGAATTTGCTTTGTCCCTCGTGACGCCCCATACAAATCATACAAGAGTTGATGGCTAGGTGCATTTTTGTGTTGATGCCTCACGTGAAGCTCATGTGGTGGTTGATCGCCGTCCATGCTTCCTTTGAGGCATGCTGACGCTCTTCATGGCCATCTCACAAGGCTCAGGGCGGGTTCGATTCGATCGTCGGTTAGCCGGGTCAGTTCCTTAAGTTATTCGTTTCGATTCAACTCGTTTCGGTTTCCGGTTTGCTTGCGTTTTGGTATCGGTTCAGAATGGATGCTATCCGTTCATTGCAGTCCCTAGGCCCTAGGGTCCCTAAAGTCAACTGTGAGCTTCAGAGTGCGAAGAATGCAGCTGTGCCAAGTGCTGCACAAGCTGGAATAAGAGGTGGCAGGCGAGAAAGAAAGTTTCCAAAGTGGCGTTCAGAGCTTGAAAACTGGGTTTGATTGGGGGATGTTTGGGAGCCAAGTCTCAAAATGGCATTGGCCAAGGGGCGAGGAGATTGACAATGGCTGCAACACCCCAACCGTTCGGGCCTAACGCATCGAAAAAGCCGCTGTCCCAAGCTCCGGGAAACCGTCTGCTGGGTGCTCTTGGGGTGGCCAGCGCCCAACGCAAGACGACGGACACAGTCCCATGGAGTGGAAGGGATGGAAGAAGTTCACTGGGTTTGGGGGCCACAGCGCGAGGTGAGGATTCCCGTTTTAGTCGATTCCTTAAATCCTCTTCCGGGTTCTGTTCCGATTCCTTTCCAATCCCTGCTTCGCTTCGGGACGGGAGGCTTGAACTGGGAAGATCTGGTCAATCCATTGCGGCAAGTCTCCGGATTGGCGGTGGTCCTTGTGATGAGCTATATCACTCTGACGATTTTTGCGATTCTCAATGCAACTCAGACGCAACGCACAAACCGGACCAAACCGTTAATTCGGTTCTAAGTACTCGAAGTTGTTCCTTTTGTGATGTTTGTGTTTGCTTGATTAAGACATAGTTTTGTCGCGTTTCGCTGTTACCAGCATTATCATTTGCGCAGGCCCCCTGTCCACCAAAGGGACCTGCCCTAAAAGACCAATGACATGAAGGGCCAAAAACGCCATACCCCGGTGGTGCACTGCACCCGTGGACGGGTTGGCCCTACAATACTAGATGATTCCAATTGTGTGCGTGCGCGTGTTCCACAACATTCACCCGTTGTGTCATCTGCGCAACAATGTTGGCACTCATTGGCCATTTTGGGGCCAGAATCAAACATCACCGTGTAAGAGGACCACAAACTGCATGTGAATTGCTTCTATGCATGTTGCACATGTTGCGGACAACGGTAAGAAATTGCACATGACCTATTGAAAACAGGCGGACACGGCACCTCAGATCTTTTGAGTCTCATTCCAAAAACAGGCAGGGGTTGCAATCCGATACCATCCGATACCTTGTTTTGGGATTGTTTTGGTGTACTTTTGGTGACATCCCATTGATCAATCCACTTTGATATCCATGTGACATGTGTTTTCTTTTCAAGTCAACGGTTCAACATGGCGCTGCAGGTAGTAACGGGAGTGTTTCTCGGCAAGCATTCTTCAACACGTTTATGTTTTTGGATTCCCTATTTTCTTCCGAAAGGTGTTAAGACTTTTTGACGTTCAATCCTGGGGGTCTTTGACAGGTTTTGCAACACCGCAATAGAGAGCGCGGGAGCTGACAAAGATGTGCGAACTTTGAAGCAAATCCAGGCCAAATCGCAACAGGCACATTTGGATCACACGATACAAACGGCACAAACTGGCCAATCGTGGTTCAGCTTTTCCATGCATCAGCTTGGCCTGGCGTTGGTTGATGGAGGTCACTTCTTTGTGAATCAGCCCAATTGTTGCAGCAGAGGGCGTTGCGTCCAAACTGTCCAAGAATAAAGGTGCAAGCCTAGAGAGACTCCAACACTTGGTTGTTCAATTGTGTGAGGCTAGGGGTGCGTGTTTGATGGGGACACTGCAATGTAGGACAAGAGGCTTCGGTTTGCTGCCATGTTGTGCACCCCATCACATCGCATGAAAGCTAGCTAAGCAACATTAAGCAACTTTGTATGAGTTGAAATTGAATTCAAGCATGCAACTCATGCTCAATACCCTTTCATTGTTCGAGACGCGTCCCACATTTTGGAAAGCTCGAAGCTTCCTGGGGAATCGTTTCACTGGGAAGAGCCCTTTCCTAGAAGTACAGTCCCTGCTCAATACCCTTTAACCTTGGAATTTGAGCCGTCTCCCTTGGCGATCCCTTCGGAATACCGTGATTTCGCAGAATGGCTGCTAGTTTGCAGAACCCCCAATCGATTGCGCCAGGTGGAGCTTTTGAAAAGTGTATTCCAAGAGATTGACTTCGAGCAAGTGAATGAGATCAGCTTTATGGACAGGGTGTTGCGTTCAGGGTGCTTCACAAATTGTAATCTACATAGGAGCTGCAAGAATGTTTGGAAGGCTGAGGTCATTCATTGCTGTTGACGCTTGTTTGTCGAATCCAGTTGGCAGAAAGTAATGACAGCCATGTTTGCAAGGTCCCAGCGGTTTGCCGGAAAAGAGAATGTTCATTCGTGTTTGCCCACCTCTCGAAACTCATGCAGCATGCAATTGTACTGTATACTCCCCCGTTGGGGTAGGTGTGTAGGTGTGTGCTCCTTCCAGCTTCTATTTTTGTACATCTTCTGTTCAAGTGGCCACCAGCCGAAAAAGAAAGAACTTACTAAGAAGCTTCAAAGACATACTAAAAGCTTCTTCTTACTATAGATGAAACGATTCCCAAGGAAGCTTCTTGTTACTAGTAGCTTCTGGCCTCCAACCTACAAACGCGATGGCCTCCGGTTTTGAGGATATGAAGCGATGTTTGGCCAATGGCGATCTCGGGAGCTTTTTGGAGTCCATGAACATCTCCACCGACGATGTGTGGACCGATGCACGGGATTCAAAGGGCCTAAACAAGAACCGAAAAAGCTCCTAGTAGCGTTCTTGCTCCTAGTAGTACGGCCAGGAGCCCCTGGTAGCGTTCTTGCTCCTAGTAGTACGGCCAGGAGCCCCTAGTAGCGT